TAATTTTTACACCAGACATATATATCGGTTCAAAATATCGGTTATCGGTCTACTTGATCTGTAATAATTGGTATCGGCCCTGAAAGACACATATCGGTCGACCCCTATTCCGCATACACCTGTAATGCCTCTTCGTTAAACTGTGCCAACATTGACATGACTAGCTCATGCTAAGAAATGCGGAGTAAAATGTTTTGCATTTTAGAGATAGATCACTAGTAATTTTTTTTTTAACTTTTTTTTTTACACACTGATGTAATCTACTTCAACTCCCCCCCCCTCCCCCCTTCGGCCCATAGACAAACCCTTCTTCGATTCAGATGATGATGAGGAGGAGGATTCAGATGATGATGATGATGATGTGACAAAGAGCAGCCTGCTGCTGCAGTATGTGTTGGACTGCCTTCATAAAATCTTCCTCTATGATACTCAGCGCTTCCTCAGTAAGGAGAGGGCTGACGCTCTCCTGGGCCCCCTGGTGGATCAGGTCAGTATGGCACATAAACTGAATGCATCAAGAACTACAATCTATTCCCCATTTATGTTATTCCTTTGCAATAAGTTGTTAAAAAAGCAGAGTTATTGGATAATCTGTTGGCATATTTTTTAGTTCAGATTGGGGACTTTCCTTGCAGCTTTCCTGAGTTCGTTAAAAGTCTGAAATTCTTGAAAAGTCTTCTTATTACAGATGTAATATAGCAGTTTTGCTTGACAATAACAAAATAGAGGTCAGGGTGGTGTGACCAAGTGTTTCTCAACCCTGTTCCTGGAGGCGCACCAAAGTACACATTGGATGTCTCCCTAATCAAACACACACAATTTAGCTCATTGATAATAGGGGAGTGGAGGCAACCAAAATGTGTACTGTTTGCCTCAAGGACCGGAGTTGGTAAATGCTGGTGTAACCGACATGTGGTGACTAGGGGTGGAACAAGTCTATGGACTTATCTATTTGCACAATTTAAAACACAGTATTGCATTAAACAGTCAGTTGTCAAAATTGCCATTAAAACCGAAGTTAAACTTTAAAACACTGCAGGCTTCACTGTATTCATTTTAATATAATTTTTTTCTTATAAAAGCCACTTATTTAATCAAGAGCAGCGAGTCATTTTCTCTGTCTTTTGTTGTTGGATTAACATTAATGACACAGACAGCTGCAGGTATTTGCGTTAGGCTTTAAGACCAAATGCACAGATCTAATTAGGGGCCAAGCACCAAAGGTGCGATGGCACCTATTGTATCCGTTGGTGTTCTTATTGTTCTTCTTCTTCTTCCGCTCTGGAAGTCTATGGCAGCCCATAGAACTGCTTGCGGGAAAGTTGTGAAATTTGGCACACTGATAGAGGACAGTCCCAACATTAACCATAGCAAATTTGGAGTCTCTAACTCAAACTCTCTAGCGCCACCACTTGTCCAAACTTTCACTCATGTTTATCCTATTAGCTTTTGAGCCGTAAGGCAGAGAAGGAAAATTATTTTTTTCCCCTCTGAATCTTTAGCTCATGCCGAGTCTAACACCAAAATTAAAAAATTGTAAGGTTTAGTTTTTTCACTATTTTTAATAGTTCGAAAAACCTACTTTTTCCGAACTCGTCCTAGACGGTTTGTCTGATTTTCGCCAAAATTGGCTCAGATCATCTTCAGACCATGCTGGCAAAAAGTTATGGATTTCGTGTTGATATACATTTAGTCATTTACATTTACATTTAGCAGACGCTTTTATCCAAAGTGAAACAGTTCACGTTTAGCGCATCAATGAATTTGCCGGAAAGATGCCAAACTGCATCTGAGGCTGTATCTCTGCAAAGCTTTGACCATATAGACACCAAACTTTGTATGTGCCATTGTCACCTCACACTGACCACTTCACATCAATTTGGTAACAGTGCCATCTATTGGTCAAAAGTAATAAACCATTCATTAACCATTAATAATGAAATTTCCATAAATTCTAATAACTTTTTATTGCATTAGCCTATTGTGATGAAAATATTCTGGTCTCAAAATATTCCTTGGGTCATGCTGAAAACATAGATACCAATTTTACCATAGTCGGCCGAAGTTCCTGTCCACCATTTTGATTTATGTTGAAAACGTACTTTTCCGAACTCCTCTTAGACCGTTGGTCCAAATTTCACCAAAATCGAGTCAGATCATCTTCAGACTGTGCTGCCAAAAAGTTTTCGTACAGCGCCGCTACAAATTTGATGCGTGGTGCCAAAATGACTCCGAGGTAGGGATGTAACGATTACCAGTTTGATGATAAATCATGATAAAATTCCCCACGGTTAGTATTACCATTTCATCTTTTAATTATCATTAAAACCGTATTAGATTACCGCGATTTGAACAACTCGCGATAAATAAATACTGTCCAGCATAAAGCACAGTTTTAAGTAACAGTCTCACGTGCGCACAGCATGCAGAGTAGTTTCGTTTTGAGTGAAAACAGGGAGGAAATGCTGGGAGGTTTTAAAAGAGTGCTAAGGAAATTATACAAATGAATATATGAATTAATTAATTATATGAATGTACCGCTGAAGGTTCTGACTGTCTTCAGAAACAATGCGATGGCATTTTGTTTTCATCTTCGCTCCATGTAATACCTAAAGGAAGTGTTCTTAATCGCAATACTGTTTTGTCCTCAAAGGTTACGGGAAACAGCTGTAATTCAGCTTGTCCATAAGCGCCACCTGCTGTCAGAGAGTGGATTTACAGAGACTTATATTTACATTCAGCCTGTGTGCAGTTTCTGTCTGGCCAAAAACGGACCGAATTTGCATGCCCTGTTGTAAATTTTGACTGGTTGATGGAAAAATAAGCTTATGTGGATTCTACACATTTAAACAATTCAGATAAGTTATCTAGAATTATTTATGGCGCAGATAAAATACATATAATCATTTATTAATCAATTATTTCAACTTTTTTTTCTTCATTTATTTATTTAAAGGCTGAAATGTGAGGTTTACCTTTTTATTAAACTTTTTCAAAGCTTTATTTGAACATTTACATTAGATATTTGAACATGCTATTAAACTGTTGTCAGTCAAGTTGTCATTTAAAATCCGAACATCATTGGTAATGTTATTGTTTTAGTGATTATGCAATCAAAAAGTCATTTTATTTGTTGTTGATTTTTTTAAATATAAAACTTGAAGTGATTTATGTGTCAGTACTTTTTTAACATCTCCAGCACATTTTAACAATACCGTGATAATACCGATAACCGTGATAATTTGTCACTATAATCGTGATAAGAAATTTTCATACCGTTACATCCCTACTCTGAGGCTATATCTCTGGAAAGCTTTGACATAATGACACCAAACTTTGTGTGTGCCATTGTCGCCTCACACAGAACACCAAATTTATTTTATTACAGCGCCACCTGTTGGTCAGAAGTGATAAGCCATTAAATCATATTAATAGAGGTGTTATTTATGATTTTTCAGCCATTTCAATTACAATCATCCTAAAATTGCTTTTATTACTCATTGTTGCATTTGGTCTGATGCTCCATGCCATGCTTGGCTCCTCATTTTGCCTCTGTAGTGCTTGGCCCCTTAATTGCTGCTTGCAGCTATATTATTCTGATATGCTAGTTGATATGATACGTTTTCCTGTCATTGTGGTGTCTAATAAATGTGTTTTTATGTGTGTGAAGTTGGAGAACATGCTAGGAGGTGACGAGATCTACAAGACCCACATTACCAAGCATTTGGTGCCCTGTATTGCCCAGTTTGCTGTTGCCTTGGGAGATGACTCCCAGTGGAAAGTTCTCAATTATCAGATTCTGCTCAAGACACGACACAGTTCACCTAAGGTACACAAATGCTAAATTAGAGGTATAAGCATACAGAGATAGAACTGAAGTGATGTTCCAGTGTATGTGGCACCCAGAGTTGGGTATAATGCGTTACATAGTAACGCGTTACTGTATTCTAATTACTTTTTCTAATAACACAGTAATGTAATGTAATGCATTACATTTTAAATTTGTCATTTGATTTAAGTTACTAATGTCAATAAAATTACTTTATTTAAAATTACTTTAATTTCAAATGCAGTATTAAGAAAACATATCAACTAAAATCACTAAATGCATATGTTGCTTGAATCTGCTCGCAAGGTTACCATAGAAACGTAAGTGGTTTGCCATTGATTAGCGTTGTGACACTTAAACACCGCATACGCGTTTTTTTAATTTATTTGATATACAACAAAGGAATTGTAATTGTATTTTCTGTAGGGAACTGATTTCTAGTGATGGTTATATTTCTTAACTGTAATATGTTAGTGAAGGGAGACAGCTGGCGAGCCACGTCATTTTTGTCAATGAGCCGCAGCCTCCCGACCACTGTGGTAAATTAATAAATGAAAACCAGTGTGCAAAGAGAGCAGTGTTCATTCAAAAACACTGATTGAAGAATTACAGTTTGATAGGCAAATTTATTGATTTAATTTGTTCATCTGTGTGGGTTAATTTACTAATTCTAAATCTATGTATTGTACCGTACTCTGCATGAATTGTCAGGGATGTGATTTTTCCATATTGTCCTACGTGAGTTGCGTTGCAACTTGAGGCTGTGGGTGAAATACCCTTAGCATCTCAGCCAGGATCCAAAATTAACACTCGACAAGTGCCAAATAAGAGTAAAAATTGATGTTGCTGAGTATATGAAACGGTGATACTCGCCAGCCAGCCAATCACTGGCCACATGTTTCAGAATGAAGGGCGACATTGTATCATCATGATCCGCAGATTTGAGGTCTCCCAGATGTTTTAACATTTAAAAGCAAAGAAATGAAGGCAGGTATAAATATTAATAGGCTATTGTAACTTTATTGTTTTTCTGTACAATAAAATTGTTAGTGTGTAGTGGTATTGAAATTTAAATTAATTTTGCCTGTTTATAGCTGATCGCACATCTGATTATGTGAATGTCCTGCATTATGAAGATCAGAGTTTGTGGGAATGATTCAAATTAGTGCCCATTAGTTCAAATTAGTGCCCATAATCCCTTAATTTTAGGCCTCTCTCTAATATGTGGATTGATTTCTCTTTGCCTACATTTATTTTAAACCGAAGTGAAAATAAATGACCATATTTGCCTTTTTGTTCAGGTGCGTTTCTCTGCACTTGTCATGTTGCTGGAGTTGGCAAGCAAGCTGAGGGAGAACTACATGGTTCTTCTGCCAGAGACTATCCCATTTCTGGCTGAGCTTATGGAGGGTAAGAACATTACGTCAATATTTAATCAAATGGGAACACATGATTCTGTAACTAAAGTACACTGGGTTACCTAGTGTTATCTTTGTTGTTGCTAGTGTTAGTCTTGTTGCATTTTAAGAACACTTAAATCTGTTTCTTTAACAGTCAGAAATATTCCGAATTTCTTCCTCCTTGTTTTACAGATGAATGTGAGGAAGTGGAGCAGCAGGTGCAGAAGGTCATTCATGAAATGGAGACTATCCTCGGTGAACCACTGCAAAGCTACTTTTAATTCCACCCGGGACTGATTTCACACCATCACAGGCGCTTCTTACACCCTTTTAAGTGTGCATTCATTATCCGTGTATAATATTTAGTGATGAACTGTATTAATTACTTTATTAATTACTAATATTAGTCAGTCTGCCCACCAGTTCCACCTGTACACATAACTGACTGACAGCTTGGCCCACTACCTTTGTGTCCATGTATATGTAAATGTAAAAAAGCCACAAATCACTGGATGCCACATGCTTTTGACAGTAGGGTTATATAAAAACGACACGCATGATGTTTAAATGTCCGTTTTTAAAAATGAAATGGTTTTATATTGAATTTTCGAATGCATACTGATGTACCTCTCTGGAATCTGAACATCATAAAAAGATTTGGAAGAGTGAATTTGTGTTTGGTTGAGAAAAATTACAAGGTTGAAATGAAAGAAGGTTTTCAACACTTTGCTTGCATTAACAATACAGTTGTAATATGCTACTACTCTTTGGACAAGTTTGCTGCATACATGCGATATCTGTCACTCACACTCGCACCCTAAAGAGAACAGGCCAGAAAATGGAGCGCTGCTGGAAGAAAATAAAACGAAGTACTTCAAATATTGTGTAGAAGGATAAGTGTTTCTGCCTGTAGAAAGACCTTAAGAACTATTAGATTGGCTTGCTTTTTGACTCTTATAGAAGAAAACAAACACAACTACAGGTGTTTATTTGATACAGTGGCTAAATTAATGTGAAATGGAGCTTCAACAAGTTCAGACATTTCCCAACAGCACAGCAAGAAACAGAGAAAACTATAACTAGTGTTGGGGAAAGTTACTTTTAAAAGTAATGCATTACAATATTGCGTTACTCCATAAAAAAGTAACTAATTACGTTACTTAGTTACTTTTTATGGAAAGTAATGTGTTACGTTACTTCTGCGTTACTTTTTAAATCTGGACAGGGCTTGCTTGTTTGTTTTTAAAATAAAAAAAAGTTATATTTTTGGCAAATATAAAAGCCTTTTCACACCAAAAGTGAAATGAATAAGCCTCAGGCTGAAGGGAAAGTACATTTACGTCCGTACAGTAGAATGCAGAAGAAGAAATTTCAACACACTTCAGAAATTAAAAAAAACACAAAAGTTTGTCTAGAGTAATTTTTGCTTAGTACGGTTGAACTGGATCATCGAAGGTCAGAAGCAAAGACATTGGTTAATAGAATGGGATTAAATAAAGCATATTTGTGTTGTTTAACATTTAATTATTGCAGGTTTGCGTTATATTCTGAGTTGCATTATTTTTATTCATTTTGAGGAATACTGAATCTGTTTTTTTTTGCGTGTGTGAGTGAGATGAATTAATGCATATTCATATTTATTTTGAACTACAGTATCATCCGATTTCTCTCAACATGGGGACAGGAGAGCTGTCAATCAGTAAATTGGGGGAAAAAAAGTAACTTGCGTTACTTATTTGAAAAAGTAACTCAGATATTCTCTTGTAAACTAAAAAGTAATGCGTTACTTTACTAGTTACTAGAAAAAGTAATCTGATTACATAACTCGCGTTACTTGTAATGTATTATCCCCAACACTGACTATAACTATGCAGCCATCTGCTACAGTATCACATCATACAGTACATAACAGTCCCCCTGAGGAACAATTGCTGTAGGAGAGGAAGAAATGTCTAAATTTGTTAAAACATCCCAATCAACAACATGTATGTTAGACGCTATACCTACTAAACTGCTGAAAGAGATTTTCCCAGAATTCATAGATCCTCTTCTTAACATTATTAATTCATCATTGTCATCAGGATATGTCCCAGAAAATTTCAAGCTAATTTAATAGTTATTAAACCTCTCGTTTAAAAAAACAACAACTTGAGCCTAGAGAATTAATTAACTACAGAACGATCTTGAATGTCCCTTTTCTTTCAGAAATACTAGGAAAGGCAGAATCAACGTAATTACGTATCTGCAAGGATTTACAGTTGGGATTTATACCAAATCATAGTACTGCTTTCATTCGAGTTACAAATGACTTGATCTTATCAATGAATTGTGGTTGCATCGCTCTATTAGTATTACTGGACCTCATTGCATTTGACACTATCCACCAAAAAAATGTTTTAATAGATTAAAAAAATGATGTTGCCATTAGTGGAATTGCGTGGCATAGTTCAAATTGTACTTAACTGACAATTATCATTTTGTAGCAGTAAATGAAAAGGTATATCAATTACCCCGTACATGCTACCCTTGAAATAAATTTAAAAAATATTTCTGTCATGACAACTCTCGGAGGGATTGGCATGGTAATGTACATGACAATGTTAATGTATTTGGTCTTGGCGGAATAGATCGGCTACGCTGCTGCTACAGCAGAGCAACTACTGAGACTTGCTACTGCCATTACATCCACAACATGCTGCTGTGAGCATGTAAGAAATATTGCTGCTGCAAATATAACACATCAAATAACCCCCATATAGCATACATGAATCACCTCATAGCAGATCTATACAGGTGGAGCTGGGGAAGGTGGAGGGTTTCTTGCTACGGCAAGCACTAGTCATGTATTTGAATGTTGAGCAGCGAGCTCATTGGCTACCGATACAGGAGAGAACCAATCAGCTGTGCCATGTGATAATGATGTAATTAGGTCAGATTGAGTTAGACCTATCGGGCTGCGCCATCTAGAGTTTCATGCCAGAATTCTGTATATTGGGCCTCTGCATGCAATATACACTTTAACACTCAATGGTGGACCTGCACCTAGTGATGACCACAACAGCCCTGAATGTCAGTGGAAACCATGACAACTAGACAATCCCTAGAGACTGATCCCCTGTAAAGACCTCATTGACACAACAGCCATCGGCACAGATCCTCAGCAATGACCACAAGAACCAGACCTCTGCACAGCCCCTGTAGACAGCTTCAGCTACTCCACCATGTGATATATCGCAATTTTCAAGCAGAAGGAGAAGGATGAATATTCTAAATGAAGCTCAGATGCAAACTATTAATACAAGATTGAAACTGCTACAATATAATTGGCTAATGCGAGTGTATGTAACTCCAGTATTATTAAACAAATTTAAGGAAAATATCATAAACATGTCCTAAATGTAGTTCATTTAAAGGTACTTTCTTTCATTGTGTATGGGAGTGTGAAGAAATCTTGAAGTTTTGGAAGGGAGTGCAAAATTTGATAAGTAAAATAATTAACGTTACTATTCCCCTTGAACAAAAAGTTTTTATATTAAGTTTATATCATAATAACTTTAAATTGAGAAGAAGAGAACATATTTTTGTTTATATGTGTACTCTACAAGCTAAACGTCTCATAGCTCTTCATTGGAAAAAGGTAGAGGCACCAAGTATAAGGAGATGGTTAAAGGAGTTGGCAACAAACATGTCATTGGAGAAAATAACATATATTATTAAGGGCAGATATATGGCTTTTGAGGATGCTTGGAAACCCTTTATGATTTTCTTGGAATGAGAAAATAATGGAGATGTATTTGATGGGATATTTGAAGACATACAATAAAAGAAATGTTGAAATTGTCTTGTACTAGGAGGCTTTAAACTTTATTTTATTTTGTATATGTTTGTGTGTGTGTATATATATATATATATATATGTGTGTGTGTGTGTGTGTGTGTGTGTAAATTAAAAGTGTGACATGGGTATGTGTATATGTATACTGTGTATATATACATATTTTTATTTATTTACCTTTTCTGGTTGATTATTTGTTTGTGAATGTATTATGTGTTTGCTGTACGTTTGTGTTAACATAGCATGTTAGTGTTGTTGAATTTTGTTATGTAAATATAAAAGCAATAAAAAAAAAAGAATATTCTAAATGATACCAATCCACAACATGACTTGTGATGCAGCCTGGAATTAAACCAAACCATGTTGGTTTGTTTGGCCAGAGGAGAGCTGTCCCATCGATTGAGCAGAGTTTCTCCCAAGTTTTTATTTTTATTTTTTTCTCTCTCTCCATTTCTGTCACCGATGGAGTTTGGGCTCCTTGCCACTGTCACCTCTGGCTTGCTTAATTGGGGGCACTTCATATTTAGCAATATTATTAAATTGATTGTACTGACACTATTGGATGAGAACTGAACTGAGCTGGATTATGACATTATTGTCTGCAACAGGGCTGCTTTACAGCTGAATTGATCTCATTTCATAACTGATAACAGTTTTTGATCTAAAATGAATCAACACTGAACTGGCCTCAGCTGAACAATGACACTTGTTTTTTTGTTTGTTTGTTTTTTTAAGAGCTGCTTAACAGCAGAATTGATCTCTATTTGCATAATTGAATCAAAATGTTCCTTTTAATCCTTGTAAATCTAGCACTATATAAAGGTGACGACTTCACATGCAAGTGTTGAGTAAAGAGTAATGAACAAATAACATGAACATGGACTTTTTCTTGACAATACCCCATAGATTATCTATGGGGTTCAGGTCTGGTGAGTTTGCTGGCCAGTCAAGCACACCAACACCATGGTCATTTAACCAACTTTTGGTGCTTTTGGCAGTGTGGGCAGGTGCCAAATCCTGCTGGAAAATGAAATCAGCATCTTCAAAAAGCTGGTCAGCGGAAGGAAGCATAAAGTGCTCCAACATTTCTTTGTAAACGGGTGTAAACGGGTGCAGTGACGTTGGTTTTCAAAAAACACAATGGACCAACACCAGCAGATGACATTGCACCCCCAAATCATCACAGACTGTGGAAACTTAACACTGGACTTCAAGCAACTTGGGCTATGAGCTTCTCCACCCTTCCTCCAGACTCTAGGACCTTGGTTTCCAAATAAAATACAAAACTTGCTCTCATCTGAAAAGAGGACTTTGGACCACTGGGCAACAGTCCAGTTCTTCCTCTCCTTAGCCCAGGTAAGACGCCTCAGACGTTGTCTGTGGTTCAGGA